GGAGGTGCCAGAGAGTGAAGGGATTTGAACATGAGTGTGAGGATCTTGAAGTCGAATCCGTTCAGTGATGGGGAGCCAGTGGAGCCTGGCCAGAAATGATAAGATGTGGGTACAGAGTTTGGTCTAAGTAAATATGCGTGTGGCAGAGTTCTGAATGAATGAACCCTAACATCCTTCCAATTTTCTGGCCTCAGACACTCTTGGTAACCCATTCAAATCTTTAATTTGTGGTTAAAAAAATACATTGTGATGTCAAAGTGTAGCCTTTTGCAACCCTGTATCAGTGTTCTTGTTCTGCTGCTGTGGCCAATCTGCAAGTCATCTCAATGTCATTTGGGTTACTGTTTGATCTAAATATGGACTAAAGTTTTGATATAATTCCAAGTATAATTTGATGGACTGTGGGATTGTGTGGGACATCATCATATTCAAATTGTAATCCGGGTTGATATTCAATCTGATGTTGGGTACAATGTGAGTTCACTTGAATGTCTGTAGATCTGTGTCTGGATGTTGCTCTTATTTTAAAATTTACAGATTAACCCACACTCATATGAGATTGAATGTCAAACTCAAATTTTAAACTGAATGGAATTATGATTGCTTCTTCCTTCCCCAGTTAAATGACCTATGAATATCTATTATCTGTACTCAAACATATAAGGTTTCCATGGAACTGTACTCCTCCATGTCACCATATTGGAAGGGAGGAATCGGTTGAATCTTGACTCATCTTTAGGTCTGGCTCTGGATGGAGTGTTACCAAACGTGTCTGAGGCCAGAACGCTGGAGTTATTCAAGAGACAGAGGGGCAGCATCTCAGAGTCAAATAACATGGAATGAGAAAAGGGGAGCAACTGATTCATGATACTCTCCCCATGATCTACGCCAACTCTCTTCTCCAGCAGGGATCACTGGATAGCTATCAGAAGAGGGAACTCAGGCTGATTCCTACTTGCACTCCATGCTCTGTCTGAACTAGGGTGAATTTTTTGGGGTCAGTTGGGTGTCTGACACATGCAGAAACAACAACAACTTGGATTTATATAGCGCCCTCCGTGCCGGACATCATCTCAGAGTGTTTCACAGTAACAGATCCCAAGGCCGAGCCAGGGTGAGGGGGAGGAAGGTGACCAAAGGCACTGTCAAAAAGAAAGGTCTTCAGCCGAGACCGGAAAATAGAAAGAGAAGGGACGAGGCGAAGGGAGTGAGGAAGGGAGTTCGATAGCCTTGGGGCATAGTGGCTGAAGGCACGGCTGCCGATGGTGGAGCGGAGGATTTGGGGGACAAGGAGGAGGCCAGACCTGGTGGAGCGAAGGCAACGGGCACTGTTGTGAGGCAAGAGGAGGTCAGAGAGGTAGGGGGGTGCAGAGGAGTGGAGAGATTTAAAGACAAGAGTGAGGATCTTGAAGTCGATCCTCTCTGGGACAGGCAGCCAGTGCAGTCTGGCAAGGACTGGGGTAATCGGGGAGTGGAGTTTGGTGCGGGTAAGAATGCAGGTGGCAGAGATTTGTGTGACCTGGATTTTATGAATGGTAGTGGAGGGAGACCGGTGAGAAGGGCATTTGAATAGTCCAGCCGAGAGGTGACAAAGGCATGGACCAGGGTTTCAGCGGCTTTAGGAGTGAGGTATTGGTGGAGACGGGCGATGCGTTGGAGACGGTGCTGGTGAGGGACCGGATGTGGGGGAGGAAGGATAATTGGGGGTCGAACCTGATGCCTCGGTTGCGTATGGGTTCAGAAAGTTTTAGGGGGAGGTCGGGTAAGTGGAGGAGGTGAGAGCTGTGAGATTTTAGACGTTGACGAGAGCCAAAGAGTATGGCTTCTGTCTTGTCAACATTTAGCTGAAGGAAATTCACGCTCATCCAACTCCTGATGTCTGACAGGCAGGCTGACAGAACATCAGGGGATTGGGGGTCGCAAAATAAGGTGGAATAATAGAGTTGGGTGTTGTCCATATACATGTGAAAGTCTGCGGATGACATCCCCAAGAGGGAGGATATAGATTAGGAAGAGGAGCGGCCAAGGATGGATCCTTGGGGTACCCCGCAGGTAACTGGGTGAGATTGGGAGGAAAAGCCATTTGTGCAGATGTACTGCTGGCGGTTAATGAGGTAGAACTCGAACCAGGCGAGTGCAGTCTCACTGAGGTGGATGATGGAGGAAAGGCGGTGGAGGAGGATGGCATGATTGACTGTGTCGAAAGCGGAGGAGAGGTCCAGGAGGACAAGGAAGCAGAGGGAGCCCTGGTCACAGAGATAGAGAGGATGTGACTTTCACAAGCGCAGTCTCTGTACTGTGGGCAGGAAACCGGACTGGAGGGGTTCGAAGAGAGAATGGGAGGAGAGGTGTTTGCGGAGTTGATTGGCAACAACATGTTCTAGGACTTTGGCGAGTAAGGGCAAGTTTGAAATAGGGCAGTAGTGGCTGGGGTTTGAGGGATCTAGGGAAGATTTTTTGAGGAGGGGGGTGATGACAGCAGTCTTGACGGGGCAGGCACTGATCCAGAGGCGAGGGATTGGTTGATGACATCAGCCAGTAGTGGGCAGAGGAGGGGGAGCTGGTGACCAGAAGTTGGTGGCAGGGGATCGAAGCAGCAGGTGGTGGGTTTCATTGAAGTAATGGTGGGTGAGAGGGAGGAAGGAGAGATGGGGAGGAAGGAATGTAGGATGGGGGTCGTGGTAGGAGCCGATGATGGGGAGGGTGAGGGGGATGGAGAGGACGTGTTGGTGGGTGACAAGAGGCAGGTGGATGAGGCTGCCTGGTGGATGTTGTGTATTTTAGATGAAAAGAAGTCCATGACCTCCTCGCACTTGGCATTAGATGTGAAGATTGAGGAGGCCTGAGGGGGTGCACGGAGGAGGTAGTGGGTGGTGGAAAAAAGGACATTGGGATTGTTTTTTTTCCTCCAAGATGATGTTGGTGTAGAAGGCCGTTTTTGCCCGTGTCAAAGAACGGCGGTAGCTGTGGAGATGCTCGAGCCACAGTTGGTGAACTGTCAGGCCAATTTTCTGCCATCTGCGCTCGAGCAGTCGGGTTTGGGTTTTTAGGGAGTGCAGATGATTGTTATACCAGGGGAATCGGGTGGGTTTGGAGATGGTCCTAGATTTCAGGGGGACGAGAGAGTTGAAGGTGGAGGAGAGGTGATCATGGAGCAGCTGGATGGCTGCTTCAGGATCTCTGCGGGTGGATGGCCAGAAGGATATTTGAGGATGTAAGGGCCTTTGTGAAGTCTCAGGGGGTAGCCTTTTTCATGGGCGGTAGAGTATGGTTGAGGGCTTGGTGGAGGAGAGAGTGATGTGGGAGGAGAAGAAGATGAGGAAGTGGTCCGAGATGGCCTTGTCCACTATGCTAAGGTCGAAAATGTCAAGGCCATGGGTGATGACAGGTTCGAAGGCATGGCCACGGTTGTGGATCGGTGAATTGATGTGAACGGTGAGGTTTAGGGAGGAGAGGAGGGCAGTGAAGTCAGAAGAAGTGGTGCAAGGGAAGTTTAGGTGGAGATTGCCCATTATGAGCAGGTGTTCGGAGCAGAGGGACAGGGAAGAGAGGAGAGTAGAGATATCAGAGAGGAAGGAGCCAAGGGGCTTAGAGGGGCAGCTGACCAGAAAGATTTTCAGTGAGAGAGAGGGATGGAAGAGGGTGAGGTGCTCAAAGGAGGGGAAGCAGCCAGATGAGTAGGGGGAAAAACCAAGGGAGGCTTTGGAGATGAGGGCCACCCCGCCGCCACATAGGTTTGGTCNGGGGGTGTGGTGGAAGGTGCAGCCTGGAGGGGAAGCTTCACCGAGGGGGATGAAGTCATTGGTTGAGAGCCAGGTTTCTGTGAGCCCAAGAATGTTGAGGTGCTCTGCCAGGATGAGGTCATGGATGGTGAGGGAACGGACATTTTGAAGGGAAATGTGGGTGGGTTTGCTGATGGGAGGAGAGAAAGGAGAGAGTGATACAGAAAGGATTTTAGGGTGTACAGAAGAGATGGCTGTGGAGAATGGTGAGAGTAGGAAGTTGGGGAGGGTATGTATGAGGGAAAGGGGAGTTGGGTTTGCCTTAGGGAGGCGGTTTGAGCGGAGGGAGTGAGTGATGGGACACGTGGAGTTGCTGCTCTAGGACAGCCAGTGCCGGGAGTCACGATGGGCCTGGCGGAGGATGCCCAGGCTGGAGCAGAGGGAAGTGGTTGAGGAGGGTGAGAAGGCGGGGTGGGAGGGGAGGTCAGAGTGGGAGTAGCGGAAACCCATCACCACGCTTAAATGTGTCCAAACTGAGAATTCCATACATCCCACCTACACATGGAAATCCCAGAGATAGATTGTTGGAGTGGAATGTCCTCTCTCCCTGGAGGGAAGGATCCTGCTTCTCCTCCTTACAGAAAGTATTAGGCACAAGTTGGCAACAGCCCAGGCTTGGGCGGGGTAGCTGTGGGGGGGTCTCAGAAGGGTGAACTGTGCTGCTTTTACCCTGTCTGAGATCTGCTAACTCAGGGAGGATCTCTGGGGGTGGCATGTGGCAGTGGCTGATTTTTGATTGTGTCTGTGGGTATAGTAATAAGTTATGTTGAGCAGTGATGACTCACACTGGGTGCAGGGTGGGTTAGGGCTGAGGGTGTGTCCTTTTTGGTGTAGTTTGGCAGAGGTAAACGTGCTTTTTTCCCCTTTTGCTACGTGCAGCAGTGGCAGTGGATGGCCATAGAGAGGAGACACCAGGCGGCTTCTTTCCTCTTCCCCCCACCCCTGGATTCACAGGGATTTGTTCTGCAAACACACACAGGCAGTGAATTAGTGAGTGAGTGAGGAGGGAGTGAGTGAGGAAGGAGTGAGTGAGGAGAGAGGGAGGGAGGGAGTGAGTGAGGAAGGAGTGAGGAGAGAGGGAGGGAGTGAGTGAGGAGGGAGGGAGTGAGTGAGGAGGGAGGGTGGGAGTGAGGAGGGAGTGAGTGAGGAGGGAGGGTGGGAGTGAGGAAGGAGTGAGTGAGGAGGGAGGGAGGGAGTGAGTGAGGAAGGAGTGAGGAGAGAGGGAGGGAGGGAGGGAGTGAGTGAGGAGGGAGGAAGGCAGCTCTGCTCTTCACACCCCCACAAAGCAGGAACAGGTGGTGTTGGCGGCCGTCGGCAGCTCCAGCGCCGCTCCACAAGGCAACGAGCGATGAAAGGCGCCCGACTGTACCCAAAGCTGCAGTAGACCGGGGGTCGGGCGGATGGGCGGAGGGTGAGACACAGAGAGGGAGAGAGGGATCGCTGCTTCACCTTATTGCAGCCCCGGAGGTTCGTGTTTGGAGAGAGGGGGTTATATCGTGTGGATTTCTCCCTCTTTTTTTTGGAGAAGAAGAGAAGGAAAGGAGAGCGCGGAGAGGAGGAATGAAAGTGACCGTCTGCTTCGGGAGGACGAGGGTGGTGGTCCCGTGTGGAGACGGCGCCCTCACGGTGCACAGCCTGATCCAGCAGGCGGTCACCAGGTACCGCCGAGCCCTGGCCAAGGTGAGCCCCCGCGGCCCACCGCGGCAACATGGCGCCGCCGCCCCGCACCGCCCCGCACCGCGCTCACAGGGGTCCTCTCCCTCACAAAAAAAACATTGGGGAAAAAGTTCCCCTTTTTTAAAAAAAACCTCAAAAAGTCCATTTCTTCCCCCAAATTGTGAAGTAAAATATCTCCACAAAGTGCGCGTTTGTTGTGTCCGTCACTTCCCCGTCTGTTCCGCTCCCGATCCCGATGCGTTGCTGTTTGGTCCGCGCATCTGGGAAAAGCTGATTTAACTCCAGCCCGAGGCCTTCCCGGGACAGGGCCGGGCAGGGGGGGGGGGGGGCAGGGCCGGGCAGGGGGGGGCAGGGCCGGGCAGGGGGGGGGCAGGGCAGGGGGGGGGGCCGGGCCAGGCAGGGGGGGGGCAGGGCCGGGCAGGGGGGGGCATGGCCGGGCCAGGCAGGGGGGGGCAGGGCCAGGCCAGGCAGGGCAGGGGGGCAGGGGCAGGACTGGTCCAGGCAGGGGGGCAGGGCCGGGGGGTAGGGGCAGGGCCGGGCCAGGCAGAGGGGCAGGGCCGGGCAAGGGGGCAGGGCAGGGGCAGGGCCGTGCCAGGCTAGGGGGCAGGGCAGGGAGGCAGGGCAGGGCCGGGCCGGGTAGGCCAGGGAGGGCCGGGCAGGGCAGGGGTACTGAGGGAGGGGGTTCCTTTCCTGGGGGACGTCTTCTTTACACCAGATTTTTTGGGGGGAGTTTGTGGGGATTAAGACGGGAGAAGGATTACTATTTATTGGTCCTGGAGGTGAACATGTAGACCCCCCTCCCCCCAAACTTAAAGCCAAAAAAGTGGGAAGTGGGACGGTTGGGAATGTGGAATAAGTGGTGAATGTACAGGATCTCAGGCAGCCTCCCAAAGTAAAGTCTGTGTTGGTATAGTTTCTTAAAGATGTTCCGGAAAGTTTTTTCTTCTCTCTCTGCTTTGTGTTATGATTTCGGTGATTGCTTCAATGGGGATTAATGGAGATGACAAAACTTGTAAGAACGTCTTAAAAGGACCCAAGGCTGGGGTTAGACTGGGGCTGAACTTAAATGGAACAAATAAAACAACACTTGTGTATGTCTTGGCTTCTCTCGAACAAATATTCCACATTTATAAATGCCATTATTCGCTTTAAAGAAACATTTGGTTTGTTTATGTCGGCTTATATATTCATCTCAATCATATATTGGGAGTGTCGGCTAATACAGTCACCCCAATCATCTGTTGACTTGCTGTGCAGTTGTACAAATGTGTTTGCACATGCTGCACAAGTTTATCAGAGTTGGCAGTGCATTATTTTCTTGTTGGAACAAATGTTAAAATCATCTATGTAGAAAAAAAGCAGAACATTCATTGGATGTGTGTCAAAGCCACAACTTATATTTACAGTATTTATAAGGCATCTTTCACACCAAAGATTATCTTGAATTGTTTGACAAATGTAGCAGTGGCCATTGCACAAGGTGATAAAAGATTTAAAATATGTTGGCCAAAGTCACACCCAATTGTTTTTATGAGGTTTTTCAAGGCAGGTAGAAACCACAGATCTAGTTTTAGGTGAGTATGGGGGTGGAGGAGAGGGGGTGCAGTGTGGCTTAAGGTTTGGCCACACTGATGGGGAGCAAAGAGAGCAACAGACCAGAGTTGAAACAATAGAAGTTGCAGGAATTATTGTCCTGGAGGGGATATACTTCTGGTTGAAATAGATGTGTAAGTTGGTTATTTTGAAGTTCACATACTTTTGCTATGTGCTAAAATAATATAGAAATCCTGATTAACCCATCTATTGGCTGGAGCTTTAGTATTGTCTCAGTGATTTAAAGCAGTCCCAGTTTCTTGTGACATATTTGCTGAATTGCCTTCTGCTACAGTGCACATTTTGTGACTTTTTATTTATAGAGAGAGCTAATTTTGTAACCTTTACAGCATTGACTTAATTTGAGTTGATATGTGCAGCATCAGACAAAAATATATCGTATCATAAAGAGATGCTAAGTTTTTCCCAGGACAACAAAATTCTTTTCAATGCACATGAAGCATAAGAATTTGCTAGACAAAAGAAGACCAAGGTCCGTCCATTCATTCATTTTTCACCATACTGGCAGTCGCATGTCATGGCCTAAATAATATTTTGTATCCTGAGGTATTATTTCCTAACAGAAATGTATCTAATGTATTTTGAAAGAATTGACACTTTCTGCTTCCACTGTCTCGCTTAGGGAGCCTGTTCTGTATGTTTGTTACTTGCTCACTGAAGTCATCTTTCTGCACATTCACCATAAATACTGCCATACAAAGTGTGTGTGGTGGATTTCCCAGATGCCCATTGTTTTTAATCCAGCTACAAATTAAATTGGTGTTTGGATAAATTGAACTGAATTTAACCCATCCAAATGAATTTGACCCCTCCTAATCCCCTCTCCTATCAAGTGTGTTGATGCTTTCTGCTTTAACCACAGTTTATGGCAGTGAGTTCCACATTCTTGCCACCCTCACCTTAGACTCCCTTTAGATCTTTTACTGGCTATCTTTTATTTATGTCCCCTTGTTTTGGATTTAACAACAAGTGGATAGAGTCTATTAATGTCCATCTTATCAAATCCTTTCTTAATTTTAAATGGCTTTATCAGGTCCCCTCTTAAACTCAATTCAGTTATTGTAAAAGTAATCCTTGCTTTTGACATGGTTCCTTTAACACCTGGACAATGCTTCACAGGAATCACTATAAATGTAGTGACTGTAATTTTGTAAATGAATAAGGCAGTTACCTCCTGCATTAACTTCTATTTTGATCATCCGCTGACATCAGCAGTGATTTAGTATTTCTCCCACAAAATACAATATTCACAGGATATCATGTGAAGTGCTTTGAGAGACTCAATGGTGTAATAAGGCGCTATATCAAATGCAAGGATTATAATTATTGGCTGATTGTACCAGTCTTCTGTGGATCTGGTGTTAAAATATAACTTTACTGTGGGTCACAATTGCTTTTCTCATTTATGTGACTGTTTATATACAATCCTATCCTGGAATAGCTGAAACTATGTCCCCTTGTTTTGTGTTCACATGCAGTAAAATAAACATTGTAAACATTTTACTTCTTTGAAAAGATTAATTAAACTTAGGTGGATTTTAAGAATAATTGGTATATATATTAATGCATTGTTTGCCACCAAGGTAGCAAGTATCCCAATAAGGTAATGTAAATAGGTTGAGGAATTGCTATTTGATGAAGCACAATGGAAACGCAACAGTAATCATGTGCTAAAGAAGCTTCTGCTTAAGATAATTGAATTGCCAATCAATATGCTTGATTATCCATGGGTCTCCAGTATTGTACTGTAAGGAACATTGCAATTGGTAACACTACAATTCGTTACTTTGTCATCAACTGGCACTGCTGTTCTAATTTGTTCAGAATACAGTACACACTTGTATAACATCTTCCACATAGAATAAACAACTCAACACATTGAATAAATGTGACAGTGAAAAATAATAATAATAATCCTTGAATTTGATATAGCACTTTTCACTTTTCTGTAAAGTGAATTGACTGCATTTTGTGGGCGAAACACAGCAACCAATTGCGCACAGAGGTGTCCCACAAACAGTCGTGAATTGAGTCTCATCATTCATTATTCTCTGAGTACTGTACAAGAGTGTCAGCCGAAGGCTATGAGCTCAAGTCCTGATGTGGGGCTTGAACACACAGCCTTTTGATCCAGAGTCATGAATACAATCAAATGAACCAAGGTGACACACATATTGACTTCATAATCCAAACAAATCTAATAATTACAGTTTTCTTGCCTGCAAATTGCTGATTATTTTGTGTCCTTTTTTTAAAAAAAGTTTTCTGTGGTTTCCTCTCTGACCCAAGGTTACAGAGTTGATTAACGCCACAGCTCATCAAGCCAGCTTCCCAGCAAATGGTCACCCCAGTTTTAATTTTACTGTATGGCAGTCAGATAACATGTCAGTGTCCTAAAATAGTAGAAATCTGTTCACTGGTTAAAACCTGTAGCTATTGGCAGGCCAAATGTCTTGAAACACTGAATTCTGAAATGTAACATTTTATTATGACCTGATGGTTGCAGACAATACTGAAATCCACGAGATAAATCAGGCCTAAGTATCGGTATGTTTGTTAACAACAACAATAAGATTACATGTGTATAGCTCCTTTCACGTTGGGAAGACGTCCCAAGGCACTAGACAGAGTAAAGCATTTCAGACCCGAGCTGGGGTCGGGTGGGTGGGGGGGAGGGGAAGGAGGGTGGCCGGTGGCATGGTCGAAGAGAAGGGTCTTGAGGTGGGACTTGAAGAAAGCTAAGGAGGGGGCGAGGCAAAATGATTGGGGGATGGAATTCCAGAGATTGGGGCAGAGTGGCTGAAGGTTCTCCCGCCAATGGTGGGGAGGGTGGGTCGGGGGACGTGGAGCAGGCCAGAGCCAGCTGAGTGGAGGGAACGGGCGGGTTGGTAGGGGCTTAGGATGTCACAGAGGTAGGGTGGGGCAAGGTCATGGAGGGTTTTGTATGTGAGGACCAGGATCTTGAACTGGATCCTCTGAAGAATAGGGAGCCAATGGGGTCGTGGAGTTTGGTGCGGGAGAGGACACGGGCTGCAGAGTACTGGATTATCTGCAGCCTGTGGAGGGAGGAGTTGGGAAGGCCGACAAGCAAAGCATTTGCATAGTTGAGCCTGGAGGTGATGAAGGCATGAACAAAAGTTTCAGCGGCCTGAGGGGTGAGGTAGTGGCCGAGTTGTCAGCAGCAAAGTGTGCATCTGCTTGTTTATTATACAACATATTGCCCACAATCATCCACATATTAAATGCAAGGATTATTACAATATAGAGGATGAGATCCAGAGGGTAACGGAGATCCAGAGGATAACGGTTTGTTTCAATTTTCAGATCATATTCTGATGGAGTGAAAATCCAATCCAATTTTCTGTCCATCTTCTCTCTTCTGCATTGAC